ATGCACACTGCAGGTATTCAGATTCGCAGGACGTGCCTGGAATTTAAAACGAAAGTACATATTAATCTTTTTTTGTTTTTAGGCACTGCTGATATATAAGGTAGGCAAACTTAACTGAAACGGCCAACTATGAAGTCTCTCTCCCTGACACTGCTCTCCTGCACTGCTTGGCTAAGGGGAAGTGCAAAACTCGTATCTCTGTGTCACGGCCGCACGGTGTCATTGTACGGCCAGGGCGAGGAAGTACACTGTGCGTGTGAGTGCAGTGCACTAAAGGACTCCGTCTCAATCACAGTCTGTGTCTCTTTATCGCAGGAAATGAGTCCGGTGAGTGACGGACGTGATTAAAAGGTAAAAACATGAATAAAGTCGTGTTCATGTGTTCTTCCAGGGCAGGTCGGGCGATTTAACGAGCACTCAGTCTTGTTTTCTCTGATTAACTTTAAGATCCAGTATGTCCGTGACTACAATCCTTCTCCGGTTATTGGAAATATAGTTAAAAAAATACCAATTGTATAGCATTAAAGTTCAAGAAAGGATGGTTTGCGAAAAAAAACGGTCTTTTCTTCAATTCCTGTATGTTTTCATATCGCAGGGGGGGAAAAAATCGCAATGTCAGTGTTTTCCAATATCGTGCAGCCCTAATTCACACTGAAGAAGTCCAAAAATAGATGCAAACTAAATACTTTCTGACTAAATTGTGTGCATTTCAAAAGGGATGTTATAAGCTGCCCACTTGGTTAGCTAATTATATGCTGACATTCAATATTAATGACAAAATCAACAGTATTATTTGTAGTGCAATACACCCTGTGTCTACTGGATTGTATTAAAATGGACATGTCCAGCTGTTCATAGCCACTGTAATAAGGGTGCTACGTCAGCGCTGCTCCAAAAATAAAACAGTTTTAATCCAAACAATTCTCTCCAGTCTTCTTACCCTGTAGCTGTGGAAAAGCTCGATGGCTCGCAGGACGTCAAACTTTCGAGCCATGAGGAACTTGATGGCCAGTTCCCTGGACAGCGATGACACCCCATGCTGACTGGTCCACTTGTTGATTTCTTCCAGAAACTGCCTTGTTGCCTGAAAGCACAAACAGATGTGGTCACAAACGTTGCACTCCCATAATCGAAAAGGTCAAAGAGAAAAGGAAGTGAAACGGCGCTTTAAACTTGATACATCCTAACAGGAAGTGCTATCTACAGTCTCGCAGAAAACACCATTTTTAGGACTGGTAAGACGTCTATGATAATGATCCATAGCTGTTGTGTAGTCTGCTCACTGTGAGTTTACAGAATGTATATACACAGGGCGGTACAAAGCTAAATGTGTGAAGTGAACTGCAATTTGTGCAGCCAACCAAAGCGATTGGTTTTACACTCAGATGTTTCTGAGTTTTGACCGTCCTTCCGGTGTGTTAACCAGAGCTATCTTGGGGAAAGCTTTGGCACTTTGTGAAATCCATTAATGGACAAACATTCTTTTTTAAATCCAGTCACGGATGAGTTCAAGATGAGCTTACAATGTCAAAATAGTTTTTATCAAGTGAGTGCAAGAGCATGAGAGGAGAGGACGCTGGAATCTTGCTGAACTGGTGTTTATGACATGAAGCTGCAATAATGACAGGGTGACACACTTAATAATACTTGGAAGCAAAGCCAGTCATATGTAGTCGTTGAGTGCTGGAAAATCAGTCATCCTTGATAACACTACACTGCCTGATCGGTTTGATTAGTCTTCCAAACTAGGTTTATATTTGTCTCCTACAGGAAGAAGATGATGAATGAACTCAATGACAGTAAAGCTTACACATGTGCATCTAACATTTTCAGGATGGAGATGCTAATTAGTTTCTTGTGAAATCTGTCTTCTACTAAAGTAAAGAACCCCAAGAGAGGAGTGGAAGAAAGCTCAAAACTGAAGTTATGATGGATTACCGGTGATTACGTCCCATTAATTACAACCCCATAATATATTCAAGGGAAACTTGAAAGTGTTTTGTTTCATGTTAAGTATTAGTAAGATTGAGTAAATGCAATATTTTGTTCTTTAGGGTTTCCACAAATTCAAGTGCAATGTATATTAAACTACATTAAGCAGATTTTGAGATAAGTCGAATATTCACTGGTCCTTTAGCTCGTTTTTTGTCCCCACCACTTCTCCAAATCTTGCTCTGCAGCCACTTAATGTCCCTCCATGTTCAACAGCTAGTTGCTAACTGTGTCTTTCTGCCAGGAAGGTAGCATAAAGTGGGTTTTTAAAATGTCATCTGCTGAAAACAGATGTCTTCTATGGCCAAAAATGCTCCCTTAGAGCAAAAAGGTGAACGACAAAACAGTTACCCTGACATCTTTGGCAAAAAACTAGTCGTTTGAGACATTTTTAAGATTAAAGTGATTCTAAGTAAATCGCACGGGTCTAAAGAGCTAGCTAACAAAGCAGCAATGTGGTTATTTTTTTTAATCAGACACTGGTTCAAATCTAAGAACATCCAATGAAATGTGTATCATACACTGCGCTTGTATTTTGGAAAATGTGTTTACCATAAAAGCCTTCCACCATCTTGCAAATAACTTATGCGTTTAGCCGGCAGTCTTTCGGGGGCTTCCTGTCCTCCCCCTGCTCTTATTATACACTCCCTCAGGAACCTCCTCCCCCCCCCCCCCCCCCTCCACCACCACCCGCAGAGTGAGCGAGTCAGCACCCAGTGAATCGTCAAAAGGCGACACAGGAGGCAATGAAAGCTCACACTTTAAACACAGGCTCCCACTTCTCTGGTGTGGCACAGCGGCGGTGGGGCATGCATGGGAGACAGGAAGTCAAGTTGTGGGAGTCCACGGCTCTTCAGGAATACAAAACGATCACTGAGGAGCGCCGAGCCCAGAGACAGGACGCCACTGTCTCTCCTCAGGAAAGCCAGTGCTTTCACACACAGGAGGGCCTGCAGCTTCTGCTCTGTTCGGGGGTCTTAACATGCAAGGGATGAGGGGCGATTGCACCTGACAGCGCAGAGGTCGCTTCATATCCGATTCTCATGGGGAGGGGTGGTATTCTGAGTCCTGAGCTTTTCAGTGGAATAGAGAATGGATATCTGATCATCCTGAGCCATTTCTCTATTATTGGTATGAAAACAGACAATTTTAACATAAATTGATTAGTAAATGTTTCAGACCTCACAATTTAACTATAAACTAGACATTGTGGCCCTACATTGAGTTATTTGACTGGGTGCGTTGCCCTTACAAAACAGTTCTTAATAGAAAACTCTACCAATATTTTATTGTGTTTACAGGTTTAAATGTTTTCAGTCCAATTAGCTAACATTTACTTCATTATCTGCACAGTTCAAATACATTGAACTGTCTTTTTGACCAAAAGGGCATTATTACACCATTAATCAGTGCACGAATCACCAAATCCAGTCAGAGCATCTAATGGGAAAGAGCCTTTGAACAGAAGCTAGTTAACAGAGATCAAGAAGGATCAAGGAGGTCAACCACATCCTTTCCCAGAAACCATCTTTAACCATTTCAACATGTGTTCAATGTCCATCCTGTAGCTGAGCCATCTCCTTCCACTAAAGTAAACAATAGTGGTGATGAATTTCACAAAATGTATTTAAACATATCTCCCTTTTATTGCATTTTCCCTTGGTCACTGGGTGTTTCGCTATTGTTTTTTAAAAAGTGTCTGGAGTCAGGGTTATTGGGTGTGTAATTAGTTGGTTCCATTGATCTGGTGAGAATCACAAAGAAGATGATGAGTCAGACAATTGACAATAGCGGCTGACTTCCTGTCTTAAATCTTTGTTCTCTAAAAGTAGGTTTGATTCAAGCTAGTCTGGGGAAAAATCAATCTGTTTGATTGGTAAACAAAAGAAATTGAAAAATAACTAAGAGGGAAGAAACTGTATAATTATCTTAGAGAGAAAGAGAGAATACTGCAGACAGATATATGAAGTATTAAAGGTAAGGTAGGTAAGAATGGAGAAACCAGCTCGAGTGCGCTAGAATTTGAAAATACGCAGCCGAAAAAAATCTGCCTCTTCCTTCAGACTTCCTCACAGAGCCCCTCCTCCAACACACACGAACGCACACATGACCAATGAGGGCACGAGATAAGTTTGTACACGAGATGGAAGGCTGACAGGCAGGTAGGCCGTCCAGTTATTTTAGCCGGGCCGCTTCCACAGATGACATTATTTGATGTATTTATTGTCAAAGCAATTAATGTATTCATTGCCATCGGGATGTTAAGAGCATTCCAAGGAATATAACAAAAAGGGTTTCTGATGTGAATGACCTACCCCACCTTTAAGAAAATGAATTTGCAAAAAAGTTAACAAGTATTCCCATCAGTGTTACAATGTCACTGTTGGTAGTTGTGATTCAAATGTTTTGGACTACGCAGATTAAAGATGTTATTTTTGCAGTCTTTCAACACGAGGTCCACGAGGTCCTAATAATATGGTGCAATCTGCTCTTGGTTGTTCCATTGTTAAGCGGTAATCCTTCGATGTAGGCCAAAGACAACTTCCTGTCAGATTGCTGTCAGGTACACTCGGCTTTCCAAGATTTCTAATGTTCTGACAGCTGCTCTTTCTCTCTTAGCCTTTTAAGGATAGCCTGCCAACTCCATGCAGTGACCCTCTGTTCCTGGAGAAGCCAGTATTGTTTGGTTTTTCTGCACTAGGGGCCATATCCGCCAGAGTGGAATTTGAGGATGAAACAGTTTGTTTTCATGAAAGCACAGCAGACTGCACTGGAAGACTGACTGCGGAGGAGTCACTTTCTCAAGTCCTGGAAGAAGCATAAATATTTGCTTGACTCTGATAGGGCAGGAGATACTTCCTCAAAGTTCTTGAAACACTTCATTCTAGCTTAAACTGCCTGACATAAATCTAAACAAACTAAGAAGAAGGTGCAAGTACAGGAATAGTCTGTTTCTGCTCACAAATGTTCCAATCTTCACTGGTTCAGCTGTCTTTATGTGTTCAGTTAATCTTTCTCAAATGCTGAGTTATGAATTTTAAACAATAAACAGCTGACCAGTTTGCTGTCAGGGGGTTGTTCATTGGCAGAGTTGACAATGACTGTCGATAACTAATTGATTAGGTTCACTGTGGTAGGAACACGATGTGCTGCGAGTTCGTGGAGGAAGTTATAGTTGGTTCTTTGCCAAACAGGCATAAAAACAAGTCCATGGGTCCAAAAAGGTTGGAGACATTGACCCAGGGAACTATGACATCAGAGGAAAATTGCTGCCAGACGGAGACGGTGGCTGAGTCTGTTTTGACGTCCAATAATAAAAAACAAGAACTGCAATGATTACTTAAAAGATGGGTTACTTGCTTTGTATCATCTTAAACTTAACGTACTTGGGTTTTGGACATCAACTTGGACGTAGAGGTCCAAGGCCGGGAAGATATTTTCTTTGCAATCCTTTGTCAAGACCAAACAATCAATTGATTAATCCAGAAACGAATATAAATATCTGTGGCTTTTGAGTAGGGCTGCAACTGAAACTACACTATTAGACAAACTATGGAAACCAGCACTTATTGGTGTTCAAGGTGTTAAGACCAGTCATATTTGACTAATCATGTCAACTCTACAAGCTTTTTCAAATATTGAAACCACTTTATTGGCAAAAAACTGCCTAGAAAGACTGTTGCCAACCACTAACACAACCCTATAAACCATTCTCACGATGCATATTGTGAGTAGTGAAATGTAAGCATGAAGTATTTTTATAATAGCTGTATCTCATTGAGATGTGTCATAGCCAGGGCAATGTATTACACATACTGGCTAACTGGCAAACCCTTTTTTTATTGTTTTACTTGATATCAGGATGATGCTTTGTTACTGGAACTGGTCATTACTATGCCAGTATTGACCTACCGCCACATTCCTGCCAGAAGGCGTCATATCTTACATAGCGACTGTACTAATGTTTCGCCAGAGGAAACTCTATTGAAGGGTTTTGAAGTAGAGAGGGTTACTGCAGCTTCCTGATCACACCTTGATCCTACAGACAGAACTAATGCATCTCTTCATTGTTGGATTTCAAATGGATTCATGGCCGCCCTGACATTGCCCTTCCTGAATCTATACAATAACAGATGCCCTGCTAACCTATTTACAAATGTAGGACTGCTGTTGCCAAGTAGCTTTGCTTCACTTCAGTGAGTCCCATTTGGCACAAGTCAATACCAAAACAGGAAGTCAATGACGTCACTCTCTCCCTATTCCCCAATTTCTCTCACTCCACTGCTTCCTGGGAGTAGACTCAACACACAAACACAGGCACACACACATTTTCTCTAGAGCACATGATAGACACACACAAACGCACTCTGTAACTCATAAACTCCCCCTTCCCCCGAGTCTAGTGGAAATGCTTTTAACAGCTGCCTTCAGAATGAAGTTCCACTACACCCGTGCATGCTCCCGAGAGAGCCGCACACGCACACAAAACACACACATACACACACAATCCAACCAAACACCCCCCACAAGGCTGGGGATGTAATGAGGGCCTCCGGTACCCTAGCGGGGGCCCGGGCTCACACAGGAAATGGAGTAGCCAGATAAGGCTTTCTGCTGGCCAGATGATGAGAGGAATCAGGAGGAAGAAAAAGGCACGCGCGTGAACTGAGCACTGAAGGAAAAGACTAAATCAATCAGATTCAAAATCTTCATACTGCAAATGATTATTATTATTCCTCCATGGTTACGTTTGATTTTCTTAGTAAAATGATCAATGTGCAAAAACAGTCTTTAGTGCGCATGTTGTTTATGGCTTGGTATGGTTTATGCCACTATCGCTTTGAGTGGTTATACTTAAACTACAAATCCATAAATGCTTTAATTTACAATATGTTTATTAGCTACATGTATAACATATACAATAAGAAGGTTCATGTTCAGTTTTTGCAAAAATGTTCTTATAGATGGGTTGATTAGAATTTAAGGTCCACCCTCATTGATATAAAAGGAGTGGCACAACATATCAGAGACACCTCAGTCAACGATACATTTGAACTACTTCCAAAGCAGCTGCAACAATTATAATTTCCATGAAGGTATGATTTGCTGCAGGGTTGTTTTACATCAAACAAACAACCCTGCAGCAAATCCATCCCAGTCTAAAAAATGATTAGACTGCATTACTTTTAGCTATGGGCTACCTAATACATGTGCAGGTTTAACTGTACAATGTGAGCTTTGATCTTTAAAATCCAAAGAGTCTAAAGTCATGTCTCCAGGGCCTGAATCCACGAAGCATAACACAAGCCTACATAATATAAGAGTTTAAATTATGTATGACTTAAATTGGTTCATCTGCAGCAATACTGCATAATCAAGGAATAATTTATATATTTTTCCTTATTCCAGGTTTCCAGGTGTGGAAATGTTGTGGTTCTTGAATTGACTGATAGTAAACTAATGATGGAAAATGTGTCATAACTAAGCTTTAGTGGCTAACATAAACATTGTACACTATAGAAAGTAGTGTGAAACTCATATGCTTTGATATTATCAAAACAAATTAAGGAAAATACATTTCCTATCCTTGAAATTAGATCAAATGAGTGAATGTATGCCAGTTTATCAAAGTCACATTACTAGCCTGTCAATATAAAACCAAGTTTCTACTGTAAACACTGCTGAAATAGCTGTTGAACTAGACGGAGAGTCCAACGCTCTCCAAAAACATTCCCCGGTTTAATATCACACTCTGCCCCCACCAATGAACCCCTAAACACCCGGAATCAGTATTTTACATCTGTGGAGAGAGACTGATAAAGCCGAGCTCGGCCTGTTTCGCATCACATGAGCTCAGCCGCTGGAGAGAGGATCTGACAGTGATGCAACGAGAGCAATAAAGCGCAAGAAATCTATACAATATTTCCGCTTTCACGACAATTTCCCAACAAATGCATTGCGCACTCGCTGCGGTGGGCACACGCAAAGGCCAAAATACCTCCAGGTAGAGCCGAGACTGGAGCGTTTAGGTTAAAGAAACACAGATAGGAAAGAAGCATTAAGGCCTACCTGTTCTTCCTCCGCCGATAGAGTAGCTGCCATAGTCAGTTCTGTGATCACCTTTCACCGAGACGCGTCCTTTTCATGAAGTGGAAGATGACGGAGATGTGTCTGTCCCTCGTGTAAAAAACGGGCTTTAGGGGTTGTCCCTCTTGCTCAAAGTTGAAAGCATCTGCTGCAGTAGGAGCTCCTTTCCTCTTTGCGAAACAAGCAGGCTAATTAGCCCACCAAACTACATAGAAAACGCGCTGATGTTCTATCAAAATTCGCCTAAGCGAAGAAAAGGAGGACAGTGAGGAGCAAAAAAGAGGAAAACACTCGACCAGCTAGACGAGGCTTGACTTCGGCTCGGTAATAAGTGGGTTCAGAGCCCGCTGCTCCACCACCTCCTCACCTCTCACAGATCATAGGGCTGCCGCCGCCTCCTCCATGCCATGAATTGCAAGTTTTTAGCCGTGAACGTCGCCTTTATGTTGTGGGGGAAACACACACACTCACACACACTCACACACACAGCTCTGAAAAGTGAGAGAGTTGAGGCTTTTTCTTTCTGCATGTTGCTCTACCCCCTGGTGGTAAACATTTGAAATTGACAAAAGCTCACGACCTCCGCCTTCATTCATAAAAATAGGAAACCAAACAGGAAAATCACCATTTTGAGTGTCAGTCTGAATCTGGAGGCGCGAGGAGGACTCACAGCCAGACGCTATCATTACTGTGGAAAATACGCTATTCGCATAATACCAAAATAAAGGACATTATAGTCCTCTCACTAAAAATGTGTTTTGTTTATGTAAACGTTTCTTTACCTAGCCTAAATGACGAATAGCTGTTATGTGGAAATGTGTAATAAGAAGTATTTGTAGGAAATGTCAACGGTTTATTTCCATGAAATGCAAATGAAATTCTCCATGAGAAGATGAATACATCTTCAATATTTGTGCATTTATATAAGCTATTTTCCGTTTTGGAAGAAGTACTCCTTTACTTATGTAAAAGAAGAATGGCCTTAAACTACTCTATTACAAGTAAAAGTCCTGATTTCAACATTTGACTTAAATAAAAGTACAAACGAATCAGCTTCAAATTAGACTACTACAAGTACTCATTCTGACCCATTTCATAATAATGCAAAGTACTGAAGTATTATCAGGTAATTGTACTTCAAGTATCAAAAGTAAAAGTACTTTCTTTTAACAGTATTATATTAATATGTTTATTATATCATCCTGTTTTATAGCAAGAGCATGTTAGTGTTGTAGCTTTTCAATGTGGAGCAGTTTAGATACATGAAATACTGTGCAGATTAGTAGTACAGTAGGCTACTGCATTATACCATATCAGCATATATTATTTGTATGTACAAAGTAACTGTGTTAGTCTTAGTGTGGTAAAGTACAATACTACATCAAAAAAGTACTTGGTGGGGTATGTAATTTATTTCAGAAACAGTTTTTGTTATATTCCATGGAATGCTCTTAACATCCCGATAGCAATGAATATATTAAATGCTTTGACAATAAATTCATACAAATATTTCATCCTTGGAAGCCGTGGCGCTATAAAAAGCACGACCAATCATCTGAGCCGGCCCGGCTAAAATAACTGGATGGCCTACCTGCCTGTCAGCCTTCCATCTCGTGCACAAACTTATCTCGTGCCCTCATTGGTTATGTGCGCGTTCGTGTGTGTTGGAGGAGGGGCTCTGTAAGGAAGTCTGAAGGAAGTGGCAGATTTTTATCCGGTTGTGTATTTCAAATTCTAGCGCACTCGAGCTGGTTTCTCCATTCTTACCTACCCCACCTTTAAGTACAATAATTGCTTATATGCTGTAGCTTCTATTATTTTCTGAGAGTAGTACATTCCTGTAGTCTCTTTTTGACTTTTTCTTAATTAACCTCCTGGGACCCAGCCCATTGAAAATGTCCACTGTAGTGGACATTTTGTTAACATGCATCTCCTTTGACTCTTTTGAGTTACTCTATCAATCCCTGATGTACTGTACAGAGGACATCCTGGTCTTTCCAGTGATATGTCATTGGTTAAAATTGCATGCTGGGAAGTTGCTCTTTCTTTTCATCCAAAATGGCTGGCATACCAAAAACAAAATGTTATAGAAGCAGGAGGAGAAGTCAAATATTGTTGAATAATTGTAATTTTTANGACAGAGGGTGTCGTATTGTCATACCGATATTCTGTACAAACTGTGAAGTCCACTGAGACAAATGTAACATTTGTGATATTGGGCTATATAAATAAACATTGATTGATTGATACTATTCAGTTACATAAATCCATAAATATAAAAATGTAAGCTACATCTGATAGACTCATAAACATGGATGCATTCTGGCATTGTGACTCCCCTGTGCAATGTATTAATAACACACACACACACACACACACACACACACACACACACACACACACACACACACACACACACATACA